ATTGAAAGTGCAAAGCACGTACAGTGTTCTTGCAGGCACCTGACTTTGTGTACATAAATGTACTTTACTTAAAATTTAACCAGTCAATGGCTGCATGGATGCAACTTCCTGAAATTCATCACAAACTCTTACTTCTTATTGCAGTGGAATTGAGTTACCCACCATTGTTGTGACCTGCACACATGATTTATCGCTACATTTTCATCAAATTTAAATAGGTGCCTTACGGTACAAATCACATTATTTTGAAAATCAATATTGTCAGTAAATCCCCTTCCACCTTTAATTTCATCCAGACAATACTACGACATAACAAACCTGTGTGCTTGCACCCACCTTACGCAAATATCGCCCCTTAATTGTCTATTGGCAAGAAGTGAGTTATAATATGACGGCAGCAAACCAGAAATTAAATTTGAGCATGCCTCTGTAGATGTTTTGTCCCTGTGTGCTGTTTCGGAAAGTGTTTGAATGAGATCAAATTTCCTTCTTGACTTTTGTTAGAGACATGAACTTTACCACAAGCTGTTTTTATTTTAATTTAGTTTGGAAATTAGTTGTTTTTTTATTCTTGTGTAATGTTATTTAAGCATCCAAAGTTTCTGACTACACAAAATCTTTAAGACAATTTTTCTGTTGAAAGTGTTATGAAGTTTGTTTAAAAATAAGCAATTCAAATGTCAGAATGCAGAAAGATTATATTTTGTTTTGCTCTGTCCTCTGGACCTACCTGCAGTATATCCTGTCTTTGGTCACGTACCCCCTGTCCACACACAACATTTTCCGTGACTAATCATGATTAGCTATACCGTTTCGCGATAGTGATACCGTTTCGCGATAGTTTTACGACCAAAATTGTAGGTGTGGACGCTCACTAACGATACGTCGTATAACGAAACTAGTCTAACGAAACGCAGGTTTGGGCATCGTTTCGAACTGAAACTCGATAAAGAATCACGCCTAATCACGGAAAATGTTGTGTGTGGACAGGGGGAGTGTAACTAGTGTAACTAACTGGGCGGGGCTTAACGTGACCTCGAGCGAAATGAGACCAGACCTCTTATCACTATCGCGAAACTCTATAAAGAATCACGGAAAATGTTGTGTGTGGACAGGGGGCATTTTATACGATGATTCTTTAGTGACGACGTTTCTTGTGTGTGGACATCCTGGAATTTATACGATGATTCTTTATACAACGTATCGTTATAGAGTTTTGGGATAAATTGTTTTGTGTGTGGACACGCTGTTTTTCATTTTCCCAAGGATGCAATATTATTTCATTCTAGAGCATGATTATTTAAACTGTCCAGCCTTTGAACATTGACAAATATAAATTACAGTACCGGTAGTCAGAATAAAACAGTCTAAAACTATGTTAACAATATTTTTTGGTATAACTATTTTTAACTCTGAAATATATTTTTCATCTTTCTTTTGTTCCAAATCCTAAGCCTGAAAATGTGTTTTTTGTCTTATTTTCCATGTTTATCCATAAAGAACAATAGTTTTCTAAGAAATACCATAAAAATGTAGAGAAAACAGTGAGAGTAAAAGTAAAAGATAACCAGGGTATTGTGACGTTAAATCTGACATTTGAATCGCTTCTCATTTATGATGTCTAAATTGCCAACATCCTAAATAAAAAGCAATGGATGACATGGAACATCCTGCTTTAAAATTCTCATAATTTTTTATTTTTGTTGTCAAGATTTCCTGTGAGGAAGGTTCTCATTTTGCTCTGGCTTCTACTGTTTGAAAAAAAATGTTATACTCGTCTTATTTTTAGGTTTGACGTTTTTGTAGAATTTGTAGCCATCATCTTCATCCTCATAAATAGCATCGTCAACACCATCACCACCATCATCATTATCATCATCATCATCATCATCATCATCATCATCATCATCAACATCATATTTGCCATCATCATTTATACTCACAAATACTTCAAACAAATATAATGTCTTCACCATCAGAATCATCATTATCACCACGTCTACGGTATATCATCTTTTCCACTGTTTGTAGGGCTATGCAACCTTTGTAATGGGTTAATTTGTATGACAGCAGAAAATAATAGAAACACAATGGTGAAAGTTTGAATTAACCTTGACCAGTAATGAGAAAGTTATGAATGTTTGAAATATGAAATCGAGGCATGATTTGGTTCAAATTGGCAATTTGGTCAGTGGATTGTTACATTGTACAATGTGCAATTTTTTTCTGCTTTCTTTAAAGTTAAAGATCACCCCCCTCTCAAAAAAATGAAATGGAAGCTCTTATTACCAATCATGTAAAAGAATATGTTTTGACTAATACGTGATATGATACAAATTTTGCTGAGAAATTGCCTACTAATTGATATATTTGGTAAATTATTATATCTCTTTGGACCTGATAGATATAGGGTAGTCCCATATACATCTTTCCGTGTACAGTACTTAATTGTAACTTTACCAAGACTGGGCCAAATTTCTTATCATTTTGATGATTCCAGAACCCATGCAGTACACCCCAATACTTATATGCTAGATGATCAACCTTTTCTGGTCGATTCCACAACGTTTCTTTCACAATGCATTTGCATGACCGTAACTGGTCTTTATCTTTCATAGGAATTTGCTATTAAGGTTGGAACTCCCTTTATGCACAATCGTCATCAGCACCAACAGCTTCATTAATAATAATGATAGACATAGTGGGTTCTTCTAAAGCACTCATGTCTGTCAGACTTGACACTCCTGGCACTCCACAATTATTACCCTGGCTGCCGTTATAGCGCTCTAGCATCTCAAGGAATTAATTCCTGCCAGGTACCCATTTACATCATCTAGGTCATGCAATTGCGTCGAATGTAGATCAATTTCTTGCTGTAAGACAGTGCCGTGGCGGGACTTGAATCCGAAACTGTGTGATCCACAGTCCGGTGACTATCCATTAGACCACGACACCTCGTCCACATTATTTGTTTATTTTTTCTACCACCGTCATTACTGAAATCTACCCCCCCCCCACCACCCAATACCACAGGGGTCAAACGTGCTTTCTCTAAATTTTGCTAATGAGTGCAGAGTTCAGGTGCAAGAGACTCTTGGGTGATAATTCCAAGCCTCTGCTACTGTTTCTTGACATGTACATGTGCGTGGCCATGCCGCAGAACTCTGAATTGATTCACTAATGGAATAAACCAGTAGGAGGTCTACAGCGAAGGCAGTCTGCTGGACGCTGCGTTGAACCGTTAAACCGTGTTCGGATCTCGGTCAATGGTCATGTTGGTATTACAGGGGTGAATACAGGATTGTCAGAAGGGGGCAGGGAAATTCTTAGAACTGGGTTTTTGGGAATTATGCATGCAGCCCCATCTCCTCTAATCGTTAGGGGATGCACATGAAGCAGCAAAAACAATAAATATATTTTAAAAAAACAAAAACAAAAAAAATCAGAAGGAAACATTCTACACAACTTGTCAATTTTGTCCTATTCTCTTCCCTTCTTCACCTCTTTTTTAAAATGTGTAAATGAATTAATATGGGATGGCAGAACTTTCAGCTTTTTCAGTCCCCCCCCCCCCCGATCCATCTAAATGTAGATGTACGTATCACCGCTGTATATCTTTTAGAAAATGATATGTCCAGGGAGAATTTCTGTGAGAAAATAGTTCCCCAGAATATAACCTGCAGACAAATCCTGCAATGTGTGAGTATGATGCACAATATTCCAGTACGCTGACCTTGGCTGGAAAAAAAGAAGAAATCTATATATAAACATGCCTGCTCTTCTTACTTGCAAGCTGACATTATAGATTGCCAAATAGCCCGCTATTTCTGATTTGGGAAATAATCCTGAAGTTACAAAATTGCGTCTTCATCAGCTCGAGATTCGACCTCGAAACTTGAAACTCGACCTTGAGAAATTAGCTCGAGATGTTTTGCTCAGCGTTCTCGCATAGTGCGAGTCTTTGGGCTGGTGAAGACGGACAGGACAAATAGCGGGATATTTTGCAAACTATCCCAAGATATCTTTGGATGATTATCTCGACCAAATATCCTGCTAATTGCAACTTTGGGTTGATGAAGACGCAAATTAACTTGATAATTTGCGATCGGGATAGTTCAAATAGCGGGATATTTGGCAATCTTGAGCTGATGTAAACAGGCCTATAGAGTACATGCATAATGATACAACTGTACAATCTTGAAGAGTAAGGACATGTATCGATATGGCAAAACAAATAATACCACCTGTGTATAAAGACCTTTTCCCCCCCGTTTTCCTTGAAAATTGATTCTTTAAATACTTACCAAATAAACCTACACGTAAAGATTACCTACCTATAAAGACCATTTTCCTTGTCTTCCTCGAGCGGTACTTATACACAGGTTTCACTCGACTAGGAATATCTGTTTCCCATTACAGCTTCTATATATCTAATTCCATAAATTCAGGATTTTCTTTTGGAGATAACTATGATGCGGAGATAAGTATGTTTATGTTTTCAATAATATTTTGAATTGTTCTCTTTTCTTTCTTTCTTTTATTTTTCTGACCTTCCTTCACTGTTCTGTATACTACCACTTTTTGTATTTCCCCTCATTGCCTCATTTTCCTTTTATTAATTCTTTTTCTTGTTTCTCCATTTCCTGTTTTTCTTCTCTTTCTCCTCAATTTCCTTTCCTCCTTCACCTCCTCCTTCATCTTTTCTTTTTCTCTATCTTCTTTTTTTCTATTTCTTTATCTTTTTCATTTTTTTTCTTTTTCTTCTTTGTCCCCCTTTTTTTCTTCTTCTTCCTTTCCTTCTCTTCTTCTTTTCTCCTTCTTTTTCTTTTCTTCTTCTTCATTATCACGCATCCTCCTCCTTCTACTCCTCCTTTTCCTCCTCCTTCTCCTCCTCCTTCTCCTCCTCCTCCTTTGTCTTCCTCTTCTCCTTCTCCTCCTCCTTTGTCTTCTTCTTCTCCTTCTCCTCCTCCTTTGTCTTCTTCTGCTCCTTCGTTATACAGGCATAGAGATTTCATGAAAGACTGTCCCAGTGGTGCCTTGGGGGAAGAAGTAAGCATTTCATTTTATTTATTTTAATTTACTTTCCATGACTTAAAAACATAAGTCAGTATTTTACCAATTCAGTTAAACCCAACTCTGAGTCTAAAATCATGTATAACAAGAGGACAACTTAGACCACAGACTAACCTTCTTTGTTGCACCTGATTTTGGACAAAAGCTTAGACCGAAGCTTCAGGTTTAAATTTTCATAGAATACGGGTCACAGAGTGATATATCAGTGTCTAAGTCAAAACCAAAATATTACAAAAACTTTTCATACCAGTGGTTCAGTAAATTCAGTCATTAATTTCTTGGTAAACTAGATTCTTATATCATTTTAAACAGATTTTTAGATCATCCTTTTTTTTTCTTTCTTTCAAATGACCATGACAAATTTACACGAGGGGAACTAATCACCCAAACATGTAATTTTTGGACAGCTACATGTAGTATGTATGTATAATACTCAAACCCTGGCATTGTATGGACAAAATGGTAAAGGAGTTCAAAGAAAATAAAGGGTAACCAAAGAGAAAAGAAGAATAACCATGCATTGAATTCACGTTAGACTTGGGTTTCGTGCCTACGGGGCTTAGTCCAAACTTGTCACTTTCACTGTTTATAGGGAGTATTTAAAGGTAATACAAAGTTTTGGTATGGGGTCATGAATTTGGTTCAAATGAACATATATTGGAAGCATATACGATCCTACAATATTCAGTGATCGTTGTCGCGGTCGAAATCGACTCTAAAGTTATGAAATTGTAAATAATAAACATTTTATGTTGAATAGCTCCCTCTCAATGTCAAAATATTAATTAAGCTATAAAACAATGTTTATTGACTAAAATCGACCGATTAGCTATTCTCGTTCGGAAATAATGTACCACAACTACATACTCTGAGATTTTCATGGTCGCAGCTACCATTATACGGCCGTAGGAGCTATTTGAAATTTATCAAAATTTACCGGGAGCACCGGTAAATCTTTATATTCAATTTTTCTCGAAAGCAGAATTGTTTAAGGGGCTAAAATTTCTGGTGTTTTTAATACATCCACAGGGCCATCCAAATTTATCAAAATTGTTAAGAATCACTATCCACCCATTTTTCGACATTTCCCAAAACTTTGTAATACCTTTAAACCACCCCGTATTAGGCCGGGTCCAGACCACTTGACCCAAGGACAGCCTGACCCTGGATAACCCGACCGACCAACTGACCAACCACCCTGGACAACTTGACTCACTTGACTGGGTCGAGTTGTCCATGTTAAGGTGTCAATCACTCCTGACAACGCAACCAACTTTGTTTCCCCATGATTTCATGAACTAAAGTCACTTTATGACATTCTGAATTGTCATGAGTATATTCACATGAATATCATTTGTCAAATCATGCAAAAACCATGAGAAAACATGGAGAGATGTAGATTTGATAAAGTATGTATGGTGTGGTTGGGTTAGAGCTCGGGGGGGGGGGGGGGGGGGGGGTTCACAAAACTTGTCGTCAGTTACAAATGACAGTTTTTAATATAAGCTACTAAAATCATTGCGTCCGATTGGTTATCAGCAGATTTGTCACTGATTTTTGTCATAATGTCATTGAAAAAAGGCTTTGTGAAATGCCCCCCAGATCTTATCACATGGGGAAGGCTAAATCAGGCCTTGATTAAATCAATTCTTTGAATAAACCTAGTTAGAGTTTTTCGAGAACATTGCTCATTGCTACCATTAGGCTTAATATCAGTTTGATGTTGTCTCTCGAGGGTATAAAATTGCTGCGTCAGTTGGGTAATGGTGAGGGTAATGGTTACCAAGGTGAATTATTGAAATATGATTATGACATTTATGCCTTGATGTGATACAGACGAGGAAGGCCTCCTCTGTCAAAATAACGCAATCCCTTCCAAAATTTCCATACAAGCACAGATTTGGCGTAATAATTCAAAATTTAATGACAGTATAGTAAAAAACAAAATTAACAAGAACAGTTACGAAATGATCAATCCCTGGACAAAAATATTTAGGTATTTCTGAGATTAAAATCAAATGCTTTGCTCAATTCATTCTTGTTTAACTTTTTGTTTAACAACAATTTTTTAATCACTGTAGATTCAAGGATATTAAAAAAAGCTACATTCTTTTACATTCAAATCTAAGAAAGGTATCATAGGATACCATATGAATAGTTAAAATAAATAAATAGTTTAAATAGGGCAGTCAAACTCATGTAAGAAGTTTATTTGTATGAAAGGAGGACAATCAGATAAATAGAATGGTGACAGAATAGTAAAATAAAGCAGACCCAAAATAAGATAATTATCAATGTTTGTATTATGAGATCACTATATACATGCAAATCTAAAATTGGCAATATGGTGTATGGATTGTGACATAGACACGGACAGCTCTCTTTGCTTGTCATGTACAAAAATATAATTAAATTCTGTTTTTCTCCTAATAGCCTTCTCCCTTGGGGCGGAACTCAAAATATTCATGTTCATCTTTATTACCGCACATTTAATGTGATGCATTAATTGCGCATTATTTTAGATTGACCATGTGCATCACAATGCTTATCAGTAAGTGTATCTTGCCTTGAAGTCACATCGCTTTTAAAGTAAAATGCTCAGATGTAACCTGAATAATATAAGTTAAGAAAATATTACTTAGCCAACCAAATTGCGAAGTAAAATACTGACTCAATCTACATCCAGAATTTAATACAGCCAGCTCCTTGACTTTAATCTACAAACACTATGCAGATTTTTTCTAATGATGTCTCTGAATGCTATTAAACCTCCTACAGTATTTACATTTATCAGAAATATCATTTTTTACTTGCATATATATATATTGATTACAACATGGCAAATATTGGCTTTTTTCCATTGCCTTACCTTGCTGAGCAAATTTGTGTGATATATCCTCAGGTACCTCTAAGCAATGAAATCAATATGATGTCGTAAAATGCGACAATTCTGCTCAGAAATTGTCATCCGTTAAAATTGATTTGCTTTATTAGTTTCTTTTTTTGCCTTCCGCCAGAGGAATAGAGAGATATGATTATGACAATTGCAAGAGGAAGGTATGGGCTTTGAGATGTTAGAGAGCGAGATCAGCTCAGGGGCATTCATGAAATTGTGCTTTCATTTTTTTGATAAGAACTATTATGATCATATTTTAGAGAGGAAGAGTGCGAGAGAGATAGAGAGAGAGAGAGAGAGAGAGAGAGAGAGAGAGAGAGAGAGGCAAAGAAATTAAAAGAGAGAGTGAGAGACAGACAGAGAGAGAGAGAGAGAGACAGCCACCAAACCGACGACAGTCTATGGCTAAGAATCGGTCAGTTTGGGGTCGGTCTAGAGTCAATTTGGTGGTGTGACCAGGTATAAGCCTCAGTACTCTTGATGCTGAAATGAGTGGTGATGAATGTATTATAAAAAGTAATACAAATATCATTGAGGGAATGCATTAGGTTTGCAATCATGAAACATGCTTATGACCCATTGAATAAGTAATGATAATAGTTGTGCTCCCAAATGTCTTGACGTACAGGCTGCCTGTTAACCTTTTCCAAGTCCTGAGTAAATCTGATGGATATATCTTGAGCGCATCTCATTATTAACACTTAAAATTAAAGGCAAACATGCCCAAGGGGCTAATAAAATCAGACATTCAGTGTAAACTTCTCTACAATCTGAATTGCCAAGATAGTAGGGGCAGTTACACTGTCATCCAAACACGCCAAAAAATGCCAAACCGGAGCCTGGCCGCGATGTTACCAAGGGCAACTACGCTTTACCGGCAGACATGCCAAGCCCCAAACATTCCAAAACGAAGTGTGATCTTTTGGCGTGTTTTGGCGTGTTTTGGCGTGTTTGGCAAGTATAACCGCTCGCAGTTGTAACATCGCGATGTTAGGCACGTGTCTTCCGGCACTTCCGGATTGTTACCCGCGCTCTTTTAAACCACGTTCTTCCCGTGTGATATTTATAGCATTTCCATCGTCGCGCGTGTTATCCGTTCATTCAGCTCCGTTTGTTCCAATTCCGTTAACTCATCCTTTATTCAATCTTCATTATTCCCGTCTGGCCATATCTGTCTAGTAGTAGTATTTGAGTGTTTTGTTAGATTAATTAATTAATCGACGTCGGCGAATTCTCATAATTCCAATTAACAACGATGATTTTCTTAACCTTCCCATATCGTTTTTACTACTAGATTTCGATTGAATTTGGGAAAACTGAATCAGCAGCCGTAGTCCGTACTTCGTAACTTATCCACTCTTGCCTCAAATACTACACGCGAGATAAACAAAACATATCGCATGCATGCGCATGGGATGAATCGCTATTTAGCTAGCTATAGCGCTAGCTGGAAATTGCGCGCGCTAAAAATCTTATAGCAGGCCGGGGTCAAAGGTCGGGAAGACTGCACATGCGCATTACCAACCGAAACACGCCAAAACATCGCTGAACAGCTCCGTCGGTGATGTTTCAGCACAAGTGTAACCGGGTGCACGAAACATCGCGACTTTTCAAAATGAGGTATTTGACAGTATAAATGCGCCTAGTGTTTAATTGAGGGGGTGTTTGCATGGATGGAAATTAATCAGGGTCAAAACGATAGTTGTATGATCAGTGTAATTAGGACCTATTGTATTCAGCTGAAGGAAATGGGCATGTATGAATGACAGAAGTAATGGCTAATTAAATGTTAATTGCTGACATTGTTTACAGAAATAGACAGACAGATAGTCAAATAAGAAGACATGCATACAGCAAATTAGAGAGAGAGAGAGAGAGAGAGAGAGAGAAAGAGATGGGTATATAGGGAGATACAAAGGGATATCAAGAGGGATATTGAGATAGTGTAGAGAAAGAGACAGAACGAATAGAAGTAGGCTAGATGTCAGGAAATATGGTAGTGTAAAGGGATGAAAAAGCTGAAAGTAATGAGAGCAAGAGGATGAAGAGAAAGAGAGAGAGAGAGAGGAATAGAGAGAGAGAGAGAGAGACAGAGAGAGAGAGAGAGAGAGAGAAAAGATGTAGGCCAGATGTCAGGAAATACGGTATCAGAGGGACTAAAAACTTGAAAGTAATGAGAACAAGAGAATGAAGAGAAAGAAAGTGAGAGAGATAGAGTGACTGACACAAAGAAGTGGATAATTAAAGGTTAATGAATGGTATTTTGTAATGACAGACAGGCAGACATACAGACAAGGGGGGGGGGGGGGTGGGGTGGTTGCAGTAAGTGTATACAATGAATGCTAAGCTAGCTATGTGGTTTATGTTAACTTCATGTTAATGCATACATTTTCCAACCAATTACATTTACTTTATAAACAAATGTCAATATAGATTAATTTTCTTCTCAATTTCTACTTCTAACTGATGATAGACGGAGAATTATTTTGCCTTGAAATCATTTCCTGTTTTGCAACATGTATTAAAGCAGCATAATCTATTAATGATGATGCATAAGAAGATGTTCTAGATTTTTCTGTGACCCTTTTTGGGGGTGGGGAGGATTCAAAAGCTGCAAAGCTGCAGATGAGAATCTTCTAGATTTGCTTATATATGTTTGATATGAAAAAGTATTGTTTCTCAACCTGTTTTCATTCATTTCCCCCCTTCTTTATTTCCAGGAATTTCAGACGATATACCAGCAATTCTTCCCCTATGGGGACCCTTCCAAGTTTGCTGGGTTTGTCTTCAAGGTCTTTGATGCTAACAAGGTAGGAGAATTATCATTAAAAATAGATTTGACTAATTATTATTTCTTTATTATTGCAACCAAAATTTTAGGTCAAATTTCATATTCAAATAAATATACACACATTTACATAAAAATGGTAGAAATAGTAATGCATTGCTCTCATTAATCATCTTTTCTTTATCCCTCCTGAATATTGATAATAAATACAGAGCAATTTCCATAAGCTAACAATAAAAGTGTAATAATCCTACCCTTGTTAGCTATACTCATCACATAATGAGCTCCAATCTGATGTCTATTCATCAAGTAAATAATGGAGACACGTAGGAATTATGCGCCTTCGGGGGAACTGAGACGGTGTTCTGTCAACCAGATTTTCACCAATTAGTCAGGGATGGGTCTTCAAATCCCTTCATCTTTCGCCAGATTTCCTCCAGATTTCAAAACAATCCCAGTTTATAGTTAGTAAGGTATCTTAGCTAAATCCAGAATCATTCGTCGGGAGGTAATTTATGGACTATCCAACTTACAGAGAAAGAAGAAAAACCCAGAATCATCTTTTTGTTTTGTTCTTATTTTTTGTATACACCCTGTACTTGTAAAAAAAAGAACAACAATATAATCAACTTTTCATTAATGCCTTGGCATGCAGATGTGAGCTATCAATTTCATAAACAGATGTATTTGATTTCAAAAGGTACATGTTATTGAATTGCACCATGATGATAGCTGAGATTGGGGAAACAAAATCCCCGAAAGGATATAGTTTTTCGATGCAAACTAGACGGGAAGAATTGCTGAATTTTTTCATGATTTTTCATTGTGCCTATGTAAATTAAAGTTTTCAACCTCTTGAAACTTGTATTTCTAGGAAATGCATTTTAATACATGTAATATTTTTTTGGCTTCCTCTGGATATACATTTATATTTATGTATGTATATATATATTTATTTATATGTAAATATTTTTGTTTGAGATTACATAATTATATGTTTAACAAAATCTGTATAAATACTTAATAAACAAATTAACAAAATTGAAATATCATAATCATTATCTGTAAATTGTGAAATATTGCCATCTATCAGTCATATTTAAATCATGTTTCAAGTTATCCTTTAAATCCTGAAAATGTCTATTGGATAAAGATATGTATCAAATAATATTCTCTAGAGGTTTATCTGTATTAGAAAATGACTCAAAGGTTCATTTTTTAATGGAAAATGAGGTCAAAAATGGAGATTCTTCCTGATTGACCTTTGCTAGTAGAAATTGGGGCATTTCAGCTGACGTTTTGGGAGGGATTTACATTTCATGCCTGAAATTGCTCCTTTTGACCTTGGGGTGTAGATTTGACATTTATGTTGTGCAAAAATACTGAAGGGTATATTTGCCAATACAAGAGCCACTTTTGATGATTTTTTTAAAACAAGTTTAGAAGTTGCTTGTAAGTGTCGGCTTGCATGGTGATGTAGGTATACAGTAGGCTTGTGGGTGCACCATGTGAGAGAGAGAGAGAGGGTTGACGACGACGGACAATGGATAGTCAACCTGTTCGAAACGTCGAGCCACTCATCCTCTCCAAGCGCTATAGTTCTCCTTAGAACTATAATCTAAGAAAGATAACAAACAGTCCTTTTCAGGACTACACACCGACACCCCAAGAAAGATTACCGAGTCAGAGTCTTTTCCAGGACTCCTCAACCCTCTCTCTCTCTCTCACACATGGTGCACCCCAAGCCTACTGTATAAGTTTAGAAGTGTAATAAAAGAGAGAGAGAGAGTGGGGATGAGAGAGAGAGAGAGAGAGAGAGAGAGAGAGAGAGAGAGAGAGAGAGAAAGAGACCGACACCAAACCCACAACAGTCTATGGCCAAGAATCGGTCGGTTTTGCGTCGGTCTAAAGTCAATTTGGTGGTGTGACCAGGTATAAGCTTCAGTACTCTTGATGCTGAAATGAGTGGTGATGAATGTATTATAAAAAGTAATACAAATATCATTGAGGGAATGCATTAGGTTGCAATCATGAAACATGCTGAGTAATGACCCATTGAATAAATAATGATAATAGTTGAGCTCCCATATGTCACGCTGCCTGTTAACCTTTTCCAAGTCACAAGTAAATCTGATGAACATATCTTGAGTGCATCTCATTATTAACACTTGGAATTGAAGGACTACACACCGACAGCCCAAGAAAGATTACCGAGTCAGAGTCTTTCCCAGGACTCCTCAACCCTCTCTCTCTCTCTCACACATGGTGCACCCGCAAGCCTACTGTATAAGTTTAGAAGTGTAATAAAACAAATTGGTCTTCATTTTGAATGTCATTGTCTATCGATAAATGCCACTTTGTATTTAGAAAAATGTTTCTGTTTGTCCACGAAAAAGGTATTGTCATTGATTTTCACCTCCAAAATATTTAAGTTACAAGTAGCTTTCTTAATTTATTCTAAATGGTCAAACTTTACCGGTCGCTTCCGGACGGCTTTTTCAGAGTGCAATGGCATGACTAGAACTCTACTCTATCTTTAAATAAGTTGTCAGTTGTTAATGAAGTTGTATCGAGATTGCCAGACTCCATGACTGGTTTATATTGCTCATTAGCTACGGACATCATGGAAGGGGAACCGAATGGAATGTGACGTCGTCGAGCGCTGATTTCATTCCAGTATCGTGGGGGCAGAGGGGGCAGCGTCCAGATACTCCAGAAAGGACATGGGGGAAAACTTCATTTTTTTTCCTCCTCAATTGCTTGATATTGTTTATCACGTTGGGTCTGGAAGACCAAGTTGAGTAGACTGCATGTTTACAGGAAGTGCTTGAAAAGTTGAGGATAGGTTGACAGTGTCCTCTGCGAACCCAGAGAGCAAGAAAGATGTTAACTCTTTGTCAAATCAAACGTCTTTATGCCCTTCTGGCTCTCAACAGATGACATTACTCAAGAGGTCCTTGCAAAAGCGAGAGATGTATTTTTGAAACACTCCTTGACTACTGCAACCAGATGGGATACAACATCCTCGAACATTACACCGTTGTGAAGGAGTGGGGGCTATATAGGTTTCCAGCCACATGCAGTGCACTGTACTTTCTTTTCCTCTCGATATGTGCTCGCTTGGGTTTTTATGTGTTGTGAATATATATCGGGACATGCTCACCGTGGATGATGCAAAACCCAAATGTTTCTAGAAATAGATATCATAATGGAAACCTGCAGATTAGAGCCTGGAGATAATAAGCAAGAATGGGATGCTGTAATTGAGAGAAAGAGAGAGAGAAAGAGAGAGAGAGAGAGAGAGAGAGAGAGAGGGGGGGGGGGAGAGGGAGAGAGAGAGAAGTGGGGTGGTACGTGGTGGTCAAGAGAGAAAGAGAGAGAGAGAGAGAGGCAGACAGACAGACAACTGACAGATGGAGAGAAAGAAATTAAAAGAGAGGGGGAGTGAGAAAGAGAGCGAGAGAGAGAGAGAGAGTTTGTGAAGGGAAAAGTGGTGGTGGTGGTGGTGGTTAAAGAGAGATAGAGAAAAAGAGGCAGACAGACAGACAGCTGACAGATGGAGACAAAGTAATTAATAAAGAGGGAGAGAGAGAGAGAGAGAGAGAGAGAGCAAGATAATGAAGGGAAAAGTGGTAATGGTGATGGTGGCGGTTAAAGAGAGATAGAGGCAGACAGACAGATAGGCAGACAGCTGACAGATGGAGACAAAGAAATTAATTTAGAAGGAGAGAGATAGAGCGAGAGATAGAGGAAGAAAGAGGAGAACATGAGCTAGAGTAGAGATTGATGAGACAGATATAGAGTAGGGTGTTAAATGTAGATAAGAAAGATCCAATGAGAGACATGCATGTACATGTAGTAGGAAAGGGAGAGAGATTAGGAAGATGGAATTAATGAATAAGAGAGGGATGAATCAATGAATCAAGGATAGAAAGTGAAAACAATGATGGGAAAGAGATGATTGATAAAAGAAAAAATAAGGAAGATAAGAGGTGTAGACATATATAAAGTGAGAGAGAGGGAGAGAGAGAGAGAGAGAGAGAGAGAGAGAGAGAGAGAGAGAGAGAGAGAGAGGGGGTGATCAAAAGACAGCTATATAAAGAAAGAGAATATGGGGGTTACATATAGATGAGGGATTGGGAAAGAGTGAAGAAATACGGAGAGTGTGATAGATTAAAATATAGAGATACAAAATATCAATGGAAAAAGATGTGAAGGTGGATACATGAGAGAGAAAGAGCGAAAGAGAGCATAAAAGAGGGGGGGGGGGGGGGAGGAGGAAATAATAGGAATAGATTCAGAAAAAGATGAAATGATCATAACAGGCGATCAGAGATTGAAAAAAGGAGAACAAGAGTGAGAAGGATTCAGTCAGAGAGGGAGATGGAAAGAAATAGAGAGGGAGATGGACAGACAAAGATAGAGGGCAAGAGAGGGGAAGTAAGAGCCTCGTGAGGCAGGAGAGTGAGCTTGACAACAAAATGAATATAACAAAAGTGGCCCTGAGGGCAAAAGCTGTTGTTGGACATTCAACAAAGCAGTGGTGTCCACTGCACACGTATGACATTCATCTAGAGTAGATGTCGACACATTGGAATGACAAACAGCCACATGTTTATTATATGCATGGCTGTCCTGTGTCAACATATCAATTAGCAGTCCGAACACATACAAACAAAGCAGTAGTAGATCACCTGCTGAAAGCCAGAAGGGCGTTATTGCATAGTGTTATATATCAGTTAACCCCCTTCTGGCTCTGAACGGAAGATATTCCGTGGTCACATGAACGTCAACCTTACGCACACGGTGCCAATATTGATGGATAGAGAGATTTCCCCTAGATGTATGGCATAACCATTTGCAATCCAAGTGGGGCTTGTTTGTTATACCGATTAGGTTGCGTGGAACCTATTTCTTATACTCACTGCACATGCATTATGGATGAAATCTCACTTCTTAGCATTTTGATCACCATTCTTGTTTCAGAATGACATGTCATCTGTTGACAGCGAGAAGGTTGTT